TTTTATTTTTATTAAAATATTATTAAACACATTTTAGCTGGTGCCCGGCGCAGCGTTTCGAACTCCACGTATTACGTCCGTCGTGTATAGCTGCTGTGCTCCGATATGAACCAATGCAATTATAATTTGACGGAAAACGCTGGCGGAATACGCCGTGTACAGTCCCGGGCCGTACATATGATTAATATACAATATATATTGTAAATATTTAATATTTAAAATATTTTATATCACAATATCATTAACATGATACACGATGGATGTAATACGCAGCGTTTTCATCCACGTTGGAAAACTCCGGTGGGCGGACGAACGCCGAAGTAAGAATAACGTAAACTTCATAATTTTTTTTTTTTAATTTGTCGTATTGTTATAAAATAAATTATAAACATTCAAACTATTAAAATATCGTTTAATAAACATCTATAGAATCAGAAAAATAATTGTTCTTTCAAAACCTTAATTCCTTATGGATCACAGTGGGTACAACACCGCCATGTCACTTACACAATATTTGTATACAAAATTCAAATATGATGGTTGTTTGATCATAATTCATATTGTATAATATTTATTGAGAAATCGGTTTAGAGTACATTGTGCTTTTCTTTACACTATTTTTCTCAATAGTAAAATAGTGGGCATGTATAATCTCATTTCATCATAATAATTTATTTACATAACTCAAATACACAGTTTATATTTTATTTCACACAAGGATATTTTTCATATCAATTTAACAGTTTCTAATTTTCGATAAAATTTTGTCTGTGTAGAATCAACAAAAAAAACTAAGTAACATTATAATTACATATTATTTTCTACGAAGTTAATAATAAAGTATAATACCTATTAAAGTATTTAATGCCTATATTAAAATAAATACATTTTGTCTAATCATATTTTTAAAAAGTGAATTTTAATCGTGCATTGTGTAGTATATTATAGTGTCTGCAGATTTTGATATGTGTTGATTGTACAAACTATATTATATTTATTTGGCAATTAAATATGAATACGGCAAGTAGTTAAGAAATCAAAGATTTTTTTTTCTTTTGGAAGAATTTTTATTTTTTAATCGTGGTTTTCATAAGTATATAACCATCAACCAATATCTCTGACTAAATTAAAAACGCCTAGATGCATACCAATTAAATGGCTGCCTCATGCGTTTACAGTATTGAACATAATATATGATAAAGCCATATGGGTATGTCGAATAATTAATAAAACCAATAACTTGTGCATAACGGACTGTGCTTAATGCTTTAATTAGACATTTAGATGATGAGCAATTCATTTTTTTAAGCAATATTTCTGTTTTTAAACTGCGGTATGTCGGTATTGAAAAGAAAAATATCATTTTTATTTTGTGCTTAATTTATCAATATAATAATTGGAAAAATTGTGTTGAATATAATATTATTGAATCTTTTATAAAAAATAGTTAACTATAAGTCTATGAAGCTACAATATGTACATGACATGAACAAAATATTGTTAACGCCGGTTAATGATGATGTCCAGTGATCAATGTGTCAATTCGTTACCTTTGGAACTCTTTGGAACTTGTCACTATACCGTTGTCATATTATTTACCGTGTCGAAAGTATTATTGTTTGAATTGAAACAAAATATAACAATAAAAAAAATACGCTATATATAATAATATTATTGTTATTATAATAAAGATACGTCATAATATAATTTGTAGCCTATTTCAGTATACAGGGTGATTATTTTTCTATAAGTCATTCATAATATCGTTTCACATTTAAATAACTTCACAATTACCGTAGATTAAAAAGTAAAAACGTAAATTCTAAATACGTTCATAATAACTATAATACTAATATCGTAGTGTAAAGTGTAATACTAAATACTAATTACCATGGGTAATGGTTAAAAAAAATAAGCTTATATAAGTTATGTTAAATTTCACATATTTTGAGGAGTAAGGTGAAGGATATTGTAAGAATTTAGGTGAAAAAATAAATCGTACCCATGAAAATATTATTAAAAAAAAATAATTGTTATTTAAATACTGTTCGCTCATGTTAAAAATATAATCACCCTGTATGTAACACGATACAAATAAAAACGGAATCGTAATTATAACTGTTTGCCGTGCCGTACCTACGGTGAATTTCACTTTCTATATGATATTATAAGACGCGGTCCGCGTTCCATGGCGGGAATATATAAATCCGTTTAGCCCGAATTCATCGAGCTGAGGTAATCATTGAAAGTGAATCGTCCGAAAATGCGTATATGAGTGTATATTTCTCCGTCGGACCTTGTACATTTTTCTGGCCGGCGGGCACGGGAAAGCATGAAATCATTAAATTTCACGTTTTTGTGTTCAGGAGTTTTATACTGTTGGATGGCATTACTGCATCATTATGTACAATGTGCATAATATATATATATATATATAGGTACATAATATGTATATTGCCCTGTATGCACATTGGCAGTGTTGCACATTCATCGGTCATCGTCAAAGTCACTATATGCCATGAACCGTCTGATCGCATGCTAGGCACGCTACCATTATTGGCACTCATTAGGTACATTTTATCAAAAAACACAAGACATAACATACATATTATGACGAATATATGTATAATAATATAAAAGCAGGATTTAATTGTAGAACTATACTATAATATTTAGTTTTAAGATTCAAAATAATTGTATTATTATTAAATATTTAGTAAAAATGATTAGTTAGGTTTTAAGCTAAAACTTATAAAAAAAAAACATGTTTTGGCGAATACAATAATATACCTAAGTATCTACAATAAATGAATAACGATAAGAAAAAATAGTTAAGTTTAATTTTTTTTGTTCATATCCGAACAGTTTATACTAAATCAATACAAATTTAAATATAAGTATTGACTAAGTGACGTCATAATTCTTTTTTTTTATTTCAAGCGTTTCAACTGGATCGCTGCAGTTCAATAGTTTGACAACGATACGGTTTATACTTTATGATAATCATCCACCCTTATCAAGAATTATAGCATTATAAAACAACAAAATAACCGTAATATGCTGGTGATGGTTTGTTCTTATTCATTTAATCCTAAATCCATTATTAGTTTTTATAAATATATTACCTTAAATGAAGTTTAATTGCTTTCATTTTAAATTTCATTAAGAAATCACATTATATTTGTAATTCTCAATTCTCTATTAATAAAACGATGAAGACAATATTACGTCGTAAAATATAGTACATAGAGTATTATATTTTGCTAACTATTATCATGTACCTACCTAAACTACTAATGAACCACTTTTAATTGTAAACAAAATAATAAAACTGTAGTAACTTAATACTTATGCATTTTAATAGGTTATTATTTAATTATTCAGTGCACTATATTTTTGATAAAAATAACCAGTACCTACCTAGTATACAATATTTTTTTAAATACGGATCGTTAATATAAAAACACTATAATACCTATAGGTATAGTTGATAGGTACCTATGCATGGAAATTATATTATATTGTACGATATAAAGTATAAATATTCAAACACGATTTTAGCCGTCCGAATCATTAACTGCGTATGTATACATACTACAAGCGGTCACGCGAAGTAACATCATTTACAAGACGAAAACGACAAGGTCCGTTGATTTTGAAACGAATTTGATATTCCGATTAATGGGCATGTATACGTAATAATGATACTATTCCGTCGAATAATGACGGACGAAATAACATCGTAACGGATTCGCAAGCTGGTATAATCGTGCGTAAATCGGTGTGTTCGCATTTCGTTTCGTTGATCGTGTTAAAAAAAAAAAAATATGCAGCAATGACCACTTACTATATAAATGTATATTAAATTCATGGGTACACTGATTCTACTACATTTCTCTTGGAAATCGTATTTTAATGGGCGAATTGGAATAGTACGGACATATTGTGTGTATATATTATATTATACAGTATAAAATATAAATAAATATTTACATTATGCTGTACACATTATACAGCATACAGCTGTGAAAGCAACTCGAACAGGCCGACGTTTCGCGAGAGTAATATTTGGAGGTGGTCAACCGGCCGAGGGTGTTGAACGAGAAGGGGGTGAGGAGGTGGTCGAAAAAAATACATACGATCGTGCGTCTGGAGCATTTGGCAATAAACCAAAATGTACAGAATATTATATATACCTATAAAGTCATTAATATTATTATTGATGACACATTGACACCACGGTGTCAGGAAATGTTAAATTCTATAGTTATTTGCATTTTTGCGTAACCTTGTCGAATCGAAAGTCCGTATACATGTCTAATGATATAATGGTTCGACAATAACTATTAATACGATGGCCTCATGCAGCGTAATCTAATGTGTTCTATATCACACTACGTATGAAACGGAATTCGAAGAGAATACAATTATTAGATTTCCTCGGCGTAGGTATAATATAAATATAATATAATATTATGTTACATATATATTATATCGATTTATTGTTCGCGAATACTATGGCGAATCGCACAATATATTATAATATAATTATTACAATACGACTCAAGAACATATTTTTCGCAAAATATAATATAATATAAAGATACTTATAAATAATAATTTATCGCATAGAAAGAATAACAATTATAACAATATACGTTATTTTATCTTTGCATTTTAGTCTTTATACAGGACATAGGTATACGTATATAATATAATAGGTATACAGGCACGCACACGAGAAATTATTTATGTGGGAGGGTCATTCCTGTAATTATAATAATATAATATTATGTAACCCTGGGTGTTGTGTCTTATTAAAATACGAAAGAAAATAAATGAAAAATATTAAAAAATTGTCGTGGGTTAACCCCTCCCACCTAGGCGCCTACGTGTCTGTCCACATATACATATAAGAACAATACTATTATAGCATCTAAAATAGAATAATCTTTAGGTAATAAGTTTGGTGTAAAATCGCGATCCCGGTAGATGATCCATCACTTTCGACCGTCAGCTGTCCGGACGACTAGCACGTCGTTGCGTTTGTTCATGTCCTTGTAAATGGGCTTGTACGGGTAATCATCATCCGGGCCGTTAAGGTACGCGAAACCTGGATGGTACGTGGTCGCCTTGTACGGCTGCTGCTGCTGTATCAGTTGCTGTTGAGCGATGGCGGTGGCCAATTCCTCGGTGGACGGCTGCTGCTGCTGTTGCTGTTGATGGTGATGATGCAGGTTGTTGTTGTGGTGGTGATGGTTGTTGTGGTTATGATGGTGCAGTGGTGGTGATTTGTTTACGGCCTGTGCGTACTTGGTTGACGCCGGGGACGCGGGTGATACGTAACCGTAAGCGTGCGGCCGCTTGACGACGATCGGATGGCCAGTGCCTGAATACGCGTGGATGGGTACCGGTGCGGGCGCGGTGGCCGTCTGTGCGTATCGAGAATCATCGGCCGCATCATGTTGTGGATGTTGGTGGCCACCGCCGATGCCACCGTTAAGCTGCTGGTGTCCGGCGTGGTGAAGCTGTACGTGCCCGACGCCTCCCCCTCCACCAACCAACGGGTTGTTGTAGAACTGGTGTTGCAGGCCAAACGGCTGCTTGACGCGGTGTTGCAGGTCGTTGTCCTTCATCAGACCAAACGGTTTTTTGACTTTGGTCGTTTTTGGCTTTTGCGCGTATGGCGAAGGCGTCAACGACGATGGGGAAGCCGACGACTGTTGCTGTTGCTGCTGTAGCTGCTGCAGCTGCTGTTGATGAAGTTGTTGGAACTGCAACGCTTTGCCGGCCCCTTGGTGCACCGGACGCTGGTGTCCGGCAGCGTTCAGCGAGTCGTCCACTGCCGACTGTTGCTGTTGCATGTGCGCGTAGTGCTGTTGCTGCAATTGATGAAGGTATTCCGGTTTTAGCGGTATCACGATGGCCGGCATAGTCTTGCCACCGCCGTTCTCGTCCGTCTTGAAGAACACGTTGTGCACGACCGGCAACGACATCATCGCCTGCTGTACAGTACTGCTGGCCAACTGGTGTCCGTGGACAGGGGACGATGGGTCACCGCCGATGGCCGCGTACATCTGGTGCGAGATCGGTATGGGCACCACGATGCTGTGGTAGTTGGGCGTCGCAGACGGTTGTTCGATTTTCACGGACTTAGCTGCGGCCACGGTGTTTACGGCTGCGGCGGAGTGTGGTTGCGCAGAGGGTCCGACAGCCTGCACCTGAGACTGTTGCAAAGGCCCACCGCCACTATATGGATATCTGGCTGCCGGGAGACCACCTCCACCTGGCTGCAAGTAGTTCAACCTCTTCTCCCTGGGCACAGGCGTCTTGTTGGCCTGCGACACGGCGTTGCTGAAGTCGAAATGATTCATTTTCGACAGCACCTGCTTGTGGTTGAAGTTCTGTGGTTCGGCCTGGTGCCCCGCGTCTTCCAAGCTGGAAATACTGTCCGCATTGTATAGGTCCGGATGATGATGGGCCTTAAACAATTCTGAGACAGCAATCGCATGAAACAAAAAAAATCGAAATTATTCAATTTTCAAATGGTAATGAAAAAAATTCAGAACTAAATCACTTTCACCGGCAGCGGTTCGTGGCGATCGATAATAAAATAATTATACTACCTATACGTTATTTTATTTTCGTCGTCGTCAAATACGATGACGGAGTAAAAAACGTGCCACCAAAGTGTTATTGTTTCGATTATAATATTCTGTATACGCCCATCCTTAACACTTTTTCTTCGTAATTAAATGTCAAGCAACGATCTGTTCGGTTGAGTGTTTAACGCGCAGTACTAATCGTTAGCTGTGCAAAACGAGTGTATGACGAGATATTATTATAATGAGATATTTATAAAAACAAAATTGTCTACACATTTTATAAGAAATACATTCTATTTTAGATAAATAGATTCACCGAGATTGTAAAAAGAGTATATTTTCATGTTGGATGCACATATTTAATTAACCTTGATATTCTTTTAAAATAATATATACTTCTGTAAGACTATTGCTACCTTTAAGTACATTCTGTGATTGCATATAGTAGAACAGCTTTTTTAGCTAATAATAGTTATATGGCCTTATGGCAATGTAAAAAGTTGATATGTCAATACCTACTTATTTATGTGTATTAAAGATATTACAATTAAAATTTTATCAAATGTACTTTAGTAAATAGAACATTCGTTTATTTTAAAAATAATTAAACAATTATAATATAATTACTGCAATCTTGGTAAAAATTGTTTTCATTTTTTCATTATTAAAGCACAACTGATAAAGTGTATGTTATCAGTATTATTAAAAAAATACCAATTTATGATGTATTGTTAATATAAATTAATATACTTACATGCAATATATATATAGATCGTAGTCCATAGATGGAGGACCCCCACATCAAACTTTGGGTTCTATACAAACTTTACTTCCAAAAAAATACAACCCATTAAAAGCGATATGGGTGTTCCATTTCTAGGTAATAAATGGCTAACCCACAGCTTAAAATAACAAAATTACTATAAAATAAGTATTTCTATCAAATTTTCAAAAATTACAAATACATTTCAACGGGCCCCTAAAGTACCCCTAAAGACCTGTACTCCAGATCCCACCTCCCTTCTTGTGAGGGCACTGCATAGATTTATAAAATATGGATTTATTCCCTTCCCTATAAGTTTAGTAATTTTACTGACAGTATACAGATTACAGATGAATAAATTCGTATGTCCACAATTCAATATATTATATTATGGTGAAAAATAAATCTAAACAGTTATTTAAAAAATGTACTAATTTCAACTAATTATTACTTCATAATTTAAATAATTCCCTGTTGACTTAACTTTATTCTACCTATTCATTATTTACAAGTTCAGGCTGTCCATCATTAGTTCAAGTTTTAAGTAATTTATTAGCTGATGTAATTAGTTAAATAAAAATATTAGGTAAATTTATTCAAACTCAATATCTAACACACTCTGTACATGAAAGTATAAATTTTATGTTAGGTATTGAAGCATTTTTAAACTAATGTATAGGGACATAGTTCGGTATCTATATTTTTTTATATACGTATTACATTGTTAACTATTGACCAATAATAATAATTATAGTCTCATATTTTTTTATAGGTAACTGGTATGTAAAATATATTTTTATATTAATAGATATTTTTCAACAAACCTGAACTACCAGATGATTCTTGTGAAGAATCATGCTCTTGGACAGATGTAATAATTCCAGTGGCGATTTCCATATTGGGACTTAATTCATGCCAGCCATCCTTATTGTCACTATTGTCTCCTGTTAATTTTTTGTTCTGTGTTTTTCTTTTTTCCTGTTCACTATCCAGTTGGTGTTTATTCTTCCTACGTGATCTAATTGGTTTATTGTTGTCAAATGACATGTGTACTTCTTCGGACCAATCGTTGAAAACCGGTCGATCGTCGTGACCGTCGTTTTTGTGCATCTTTTTCCCATATGTAATTGATGGCACTGCTGCAGACTTCTCTACACTTTCATTACTCTTCATGTCGGATAACTGTGGTGATTGATTGTCAAACGTTTGAGGTTTAACACTATATAATTGTTCATTCACTCGGTGATCGGTCAATGAAAAAGATGGGATACCAATGTCTTTTTCTTCAGTGCTCCACGGCTGGCTAGGCGATTTCCCCCTAGCTTGTCTGGATCTCAACGACAAACTTTGAGGGTTTCGGTGACCAAGCGTTAATGACGTATAACCTTCACTTGATGAAGACGTGTCTTTAGAAGAATCGTGGTCACCAGAAAATTCTATGCTCGATGTCAGACTTTTAACGGACGGAGAGATATTATCTGTTATGGAGTAACCTGCAGTCGCCGTTATTGTACCTACCGTGTCCACAGATATTCTGTCTTCGCTCAGTGTAAATTGAACCAGACACAAAATTACCTAAAAATAGTAGAATGATAAAGTGTCAATATATTTTAATAAAAACGAAATTATATAAACTGTTAATAATATTCCGTAAAAAAAAATATATAAATCTATTAATAATACCATGCTATTAAAATTGTCCATGATGATTTCCGCTGTATGATATTTTTTTTGGATAGCTGCACAACAAAAAACACAATATCACTTGTACACATAAATAATAAAATAATAAACTGCACTATTTCATCGTTCTAAGTTTAAAATATTATTATGAAAGAAAAAAATTATTTTAAATCAAAAAACGACGATTTTGCATGAGCGACTGTACTAGATTGACGAGCGAAGTCGTGTCGGAAAATCTCTATTGAACGACTGAAGAATGTCCGTCCGTTTTGGTCAGCTCTATCCTATACAGTTCCGCATCAAGAAAGCGGAATAATTGCAAGGATGGTGGTGGACGGACAGAAAGTGGAAAACTCATCACAATGCAATAAAAACACACTCACATGTTCAATAAATTAAAACAAATATTAAGTAAAAGCTAATTAAATGATAAAGGAAAGTAAAACTCAAGTACCTCGAACATATACATTGTATTTCTGTTGTATGTTTGTCTCCCTAATATATCGTGTTTTTCAAACCGTCTCTAATTTACTTATAAAGTGTGCTTCCCGACCAGACGCGTAACGTATATTTTTATAAGCATCAAATAAATATATTATACTTAGATGACGTGCTGCTGCTTGTGACAATTATTATTATTATGTGTTGTTTCTTGTTTGATGTAATACATTGCAACACATTATAGAATACACTTGGGCATTGTGATGTGTGCATGCCATTGTTGTTCTTATTTAATTTAATTAATTTGTTTTCTACAGGTATACTGTATAGACAAGACATAAGTTCTATTGTAGTATTGTAAGTAATTGAAAAAATAAAATAAAATCAATACGAGTGTTTTAGGACTGATCAGAGCATTTTATAAAGTATATAATCTACACATTTGAATTTTTCAATTATTATATGACTTTATTAATATAATTTATATGGTTAATTATTGTTATGCATTGGTAATGTATATATTTTTGATTATAACAAAATATATAACAAACAAAATTAGAATTTTTCAATTTTTCAATTATAAAAGTAAAACCACAAGATTGTTTTTGCTGCATGGAGGCAAATATTGTGGATGTTTCGCGTGGATCTTAGTGATAAAACAAAATATTATAGTGCGCTGACATCCTTTTAATATATTACCTATAGTCTTAACTTATTAGTTATTGACTATTGTATCATGCTATCATTCATTAGTGGTTATTATCTTTTTTTATTTTAGACACAACTATTTTCTATTGTAATTTACTTTGTGATAAATGGGCACGTTTGGTAACAACTCCTACAACCCCATCTCAAAATAGGTCTGAATAATAATTACAATCTCAAAAATGTGTTTAAAAATACATATAATAAATTGAGTACCTACTATAGGTAAGAATGTAAAATATATCGTAAAAACCCACTTGAACAATTTTTCGACAATTCTGAACAGTTGACATTTTGGAAAGCGCTCTTATTGAATTGTCACCCCTCGTATACATATACTATAAGCCAAATAAATAATAATTATAAATATCCTAGGAACCTATTTTACATTACATTATGTATACGTCTTGCTATTATAATTGTTACATTTTAACAATGTTAATACATAATTGTAAATAACAATAAAGCTTAATTATTCAAAACAACAGCTTTTAAAAAAAAATTAGATAAATTAAATATGAAGAATATTCCTAACCAGTTGTTCAGTTATGCCTCGTGGGTCGTTGGATATGGACTTTCCTCCTCATGCCTTCCCCTCACCTCCTGAATTTTAACTGTACTGGACTGAGATATTTCCCACTAAATCAACATGTATTATTTTTCCATATAATAATAGGTTTGAAAATAGGTTCTTTTATTTTACCTGAAATATACGATCATGAATCGGCATCTATCGACTATCATCAGTCACGTTATGGATTTATTAGTTATTAGTCTAAAGACCGGATTTATAGGTTTTTACATATCCGTTACTGGGTCTATGCAGTCTTATGAGGGTAAAAAATTTGGATGTTTCGTTCAGTTCGGAATGTGTGGAAAAAAGGTTTTTTGCATACTTGAGAATATTTAACCCATTTAGAATATTTTGGAATATTTCGTAAATTGTCAGAAAAAATTTGTATTTATTTTTAATTTTTATATTACGGAACTTAGAAAAATTGTTTTGAACATTTATAATTTTTTTTTTTATTATTATTTTGATAAAAAGAAAACACCCTTTGTTATCAAGGTTTATCTATGTATATCTGATAGGATCAACTTATACGTTTATCAAATATTCAAATATCCAAATTTTGTTTTTATGTTTTAATATTATCCTGTTATATTTATATTATATTCCAATTTCCTACTTTTACTAAAGTGCAATAGTATTCCATTAGGTATAATACGCAACTTTTAATGCCTAATTAATACCTCACTATTATACACATTATACTTGAATTGTCTTGTTTGAGGGGGAAACGTCCATAGAATCGGGGGGGGGGAAGTCACGGGGGGAAGGAAACGTCCTAGAATCGTTGGATATATATTATATACTGTTCAGTAATTTAATTTAAAACTCCAAGTCAAAAATATAGTTAATACATTATTGCTATTTGTTGGGAACAAGAAATTTGTTAAGTACTACTTATTTTTACTTGAAAGTTAATTGGTAGCTTTGATTAAGTTGTAAGCTTCCGTTCAGCCTGAAGTCAATAAAAACAGTCAATAAATGTATAGAATATAGAGAAAACATTTAATCCAATTAGAATATAATATACTGTTGTTGTTATTGAGTTAAGGCTTCAACATCTATGGTCATTAGCCTGAAGATTATTTTGTAGGTATTTAACTGTGAAGGAGTGTACGATTGATTAGAACACGTGTGTATGCGGTGAAGATTTATCACTAAAACCCGGGTGGTCACCCATCCAGGAACTAGTGACACCGGCTGATGCTAAACTTCAGAACACGTTTTTAACTGAAGCCATCCACCACGCACACCAGACCTAAAATATATATTATGTAACATGGATACTAATACATGGATTGTTGTGTTAACAACATAAAAATATGGTCCACTTTGGTCCAATTTGGTCCACTTCATTTGTTTGCTAAATCTGTGATAAGTCTACGCTGGTTCTGAAGTTTTATTAGCTTATCACTGGATACCTTCTTCACGGAGGGCTATAAAATGTTGGAAAATTATGAAGGATGACAAATGGACTGTAAATATTGACTTGCTAGATTTTTCTTTTGTAAAGTTTTCTTAATTTATATAATAAATATATATAAATTATATTCATACATTTGAGATTTTGAACAGTTAACATTTAATACTTTGTAGATTATCATATTTTGTGATGTAGGTATAGTTCTAAATACATTCATCTTATTAATTTACAGTATGCAACTAAATACATAAATAATACGTTACTCAAACCTAATCTAATATTGTAAACGAAAATAAATACGTGCATAACTTGTATAGTTATATGATAACGTTTTACCATCTCGATGGAAAAAATACAAAATAAAACGGACACGTCATAATAGTCATAAAAATTATGAAATTAAATCTTATATGGTACTAGTGAAATATGTAAAATAAGATTTTATTAAAAGTCATCATTATTAATATTAATACATTTTAGGATAACACATGGTGAGAAAAAAGGTTTACCCAAGAATCAATAATCTTACTAAAATATTATCACCCGGTAAATTTTACAATATTATTAATACCATTTGTACTTAATTTTTTCGAGGTTTATACTATCTTTGATTTTTTTAAATTATTTACCTCTATGAATTAAGTAAAGCAACAATTTAACAATTGTTATACATTTTTCATGCATGGTAGGGCGGTAGGCTCAAATGGTTGAGGTAACACATACATCTTAATAATATTGTGAACATACAATTAGGTCAATGACCATTGCATTTTTTATTCGGTTTTACTAATTTTAAGTATGTGCGATCGCTATAATGAGCAGCAACAAATTAAAAATGAAATTCGGTGTTTTTCATACTTGGTGTATATTAAAATCTAAACCAAAATAATATAATATATCATAATACTATAGGTAGTTGTATATTATTTAACTTTCGCTGGAATTTAGAAATTATTAAATTCCTATTATATTTTCATTATTTTCTATGCACTGAAGACGGAATCATTAAAATTGTTTGAGTTTACTGACGATTGTATAATATTGGAACAATTCACAAGGGAAAGTATTTTAGATTTAATAAAACAAGATGGTTCTAATACACATTTTTTCATGTCTAAGTGTAACCGTCATCTATTATAAATATTTTTTTCATTTTTTTTTATTGATCATGTATTAATAATATTATGTTACACAACAAATTGTATAGTCCAAGAAAAATACGTAATATTTACACATGGGTAAAAAAAAATATTGAAATCAGTAGGTCGGATATACATTACAATTATTAGACGAAACAAATGTCATGCAACGGTTCACATTAATTAATCATTTGTATAATAATAGGTGTTGATTTTGAATACATTAAAAAAAAATACATTATTATAATAATATTATGTTAGTTATTATCGAGTAATTGACATTATTCAAAACTCAAATATACATATTTAAATATAAAACAAAGTAACTCTATACAATTTGTATAAAATACTAAAATCCAAACAAATTGAGTTATAATAATAAATTTAAGTAAATGTATGATTTTAAGTTTTATAGCTAACTAGTTAAGCTAAGTATAGTAAGTTCAAAATATCTAGTACTATAACTATAGTACTATGTATTTAGTGTCTCTCTATTTTAAATTACCAGCCATCGATAAATATATTATAAAATAATATGTAACAATTATTAATTAATTTGTAATTTACTTTTAAAAGATATAAATTACAAAACAAAATATGAATTAAAATGTAAAAATTACTAACAGAAAAATAATTAAGAGGTTGCAGTCCACTATTAGTGTTATTTATATAATTTTTATTTATAGCAACATAGACAACACGTATTCACGTAAAATATGTTTTTTTTAAAAATTATCTATTAGAAAAATGATAAAGAATTATATTTTTGAGGGTGTGAAAGTATGAGTGTATAACTATTATTGATTAATATATATTTTAACGTTGAAAGCCGAATATAAAGTCAAATAGTTATAAAACATATGTAGTTAAATATAGTTATATTCAACAGATAAATATGATTTTGTTTGAAAATTCCTCAATTTTCTAGCCAAAATAGCCAAATGTATCGTATCAATTATTCTCTGTGGCCCTGCACGGTGCAGTGGCTGAAATCAATCACGCTACGTCATTGAGAGTAAGGAACGGCGGCTGCCAATAGTTTTCGGATGGGTGACCACCCGGGTTCATAATTTTAAAAAACCTTGCACACATACACGTCTTCCTAGCCGACCGTACCAACCGTTCCAACCCAACTGTACCAGCTCTACCAACCTACAGGCTAATGACCTCAGTCATCGAAGCCTTAAGAGGACGTGATACCGGCATGTGTTGTCTCCGTCTTACAAGTACATAACATAGCAAAGTATACGCTCAGCAAAACACGTGTAGCTCCATTAATTTAAAAATTAGAGTAAATTGACCTCTTATAAAATCTAAAGGTAAGATTATTATCTAGACAACCTCATGAGATTTTTATTATATTTTAACTTTTAAGCGAGTTATGAGAATTTTAAAATGTACAAAGAATTTACAATTTTAAAATACTCATAGCTCGCTTTAAAATTAATATATAATAAAAAGCCTATGAGGTTGTCTAGATAATAATCTTACCTCTAGATTTTATAAGAGCTTAACTTAATTCACTCTAATTTTTAAACTAACGGAGCTACAAGTGTTCTGCTTTGCGTAGAATTGGCTATGTTATGCACTTGTAAGACGGCGACAACACATGCGGGTATCACGTCCTCTTAAACCTAATAAAAAAATAAAAAAATTATTCTCTACTGTAATATCTAAAAGTAAATTAAAATGATTTGCTGTAATTATAGTGCCTTTATCTTAACTTTATTTTTTTTTTTAAATCCTAAGATCAAGCGTATTACATATATTATTATCAATGTGAAAATATATAATTTGGTTTTCATATACATAATACTTACCTTCATATATTATACATTTATATTAACATACTACCATATAGGTATAAAAATATTTAAGATTATTATAGACATATAATACAAAATAACAAAATACAATCTAATAAAGTAAAATTTTATGTTAAAGATTGTATTTAGATAAAAAAAATATATATATATTTATTAAAAGTACATTAAACTAATTGTCAAATTATGATAATTCTGTTATAATATTTATATAATTAATACAATAATGTGTAAAATAAGTACACATATTATTTGAAATTTTCTTGTGCCTTGTAATTTTGATTATAGAGAAATACCAGGTACTGTAAATGCATATACTTAATTAAAATTTAAAACTCAGAACCAATTACAAAAAGTATTATAACTTGTACTTTTAATAATATACATGTGCTGTGTCTTATACAAAGTACCTAATAATATTATAAGACTATCATATTATTCATAATATGTTTTTGATATTCATACACAATTAGTAATCGATTTAACGTAGGTATGTGGAATTCATAATCAATAAATAATAAAAATAATAATGCATTACTTATTTTATTGGCACATATATACATGTTTAAGTAGTACATGTATATTATGATATATTACCTAACATAAGTTTTACAATATAATATGTGATTTCACTGATTGGCATATACTTAAATATGAGTGATTAAATATACTACAATACATTTCCTAAAGACATAAAGCTTCTAACAGCCAAGTGCACTCTTTGTTGAAGTGATTAGCGAACACATCGCAGATTTTAAAGGTTACAAACATTTCAAACATTACAAAAAAAGTAACCATCGTATTATATGATTTTAAAATTTAAGATGAATTGAAAATGAGAAAATATTAAAAATACAAATTGCAATTTTAAAACCAAATAAACAACAAACATTTTAATAAATAATTTTTTGAATTGAATATTCAAGCAAACATAACAGCACACTGAAAAGTGAAAACCTGCCAGCTGAAGTATGCGGAAATATTACCGAAAATAAATACCTACCCTATTTAATAAAAATATGTACTGAAATACAAAATATACTATAATAATACCAATAAATAATATAATATACTGTCGTGTAATCAAGTTAACGATAAGACTATATATTATTATATACTGCACTATCATGTGCGACATCTAAGCGATGATTCTGAGGTTGTTAATTAAGCAACTTCAGGTTATTGTCTCGGTGTTGATGTTGATTCAGAGTTGTAGACGACCGATTCTTTCAATGGGGTTGGTGTGGTGGAAATTAAAACTCCATTCGACGATTGGGTTGTTCCTGACTTTGGGACGCGTGCAGGCTGTTCGGTGACGATGACCTGTCCGCTGGGCACAGCGTTGTAGTACTGTTGTGTTTGATACTGTTGTGGATTGGTGGCATACTGGAATTTCGGTTGGATTGCAGCGACTGTTTGGGATTTGATCTGGGTGGCAGGGTACTGGACCACGTGCGAGTAATTTATTGGCTCGGTGTCAGCGGCGGCGTTCTGTTGTCTGTATACCTGTTGAGCTGGGGCAGTGAATCGCTCTTTGTATTCATGTGATACCTGAGCTGGGGCCACGAACTGCTGGTTAAATTCTTTTTGAGCCTGGATAAGTGAGGCGAATTGTTGTTTGGACTCCAGTTGGGCCTGTGCAAGGTTGGCGAACTGTTGTTTGTACTCTAGTTTATCCTGAGTTGGGGTGGTGAACTGTTGTTTAAGTTCTTGTTGAGCCTCATTAAGAAAAGCGAACTGCTGTTTGTACTCTTTTTGAGCACGTGCAAGGGCGGGAAACTCTTGCTTATATTCGTTTTGGGCCTGCGCAAGCACGGCGAACTGTTGTTTTAATTCTTGTTGAGCTTCAACTGGTGCAGCAAACTGTTGTTTTAATTCTTGTTGAGCTTCAACTGGTGCAGCGAACTGTTGTTTAAGTTCTTGTTGAGTCTGTCTTATAGCGGCGAACTGTTTTTTGTACTCAAGTTGAGCTTGTTCAAGAGCAGCGACCTGTTGTTTGTACTCTACTTGAGCTTGAGCTAGGGAATGCAAATGTTGATTTCTGTAGTCTTGATGATGTTTGTACTCATGTTGAGCACGAGCAGCTTCCGCGCCAAAGATACCTTGTTGAGTTTGAGTGGGGGTGGTGAATTGTTGTTTGTAGTCTGGTTGAACCTGTGCTGGGGTGGCTACCGGTAAGGATGTAGAGTACGATTCCTTGGTAATCAATTGAGGTTCGGCTGACAGTTGAGTGGCTGGCCCGTTGTACTGCTGGCTATCTTGATTGCCACGGTAAGAGTTTTTGGTACCGGTTGAGTACTGCACACCAGTATTTCCGAAAGCCGTCTGGTATGACTGAGCTAGATTTTGTTGTTGCACAGCATCTTGGTAAGACTTTGATTGTTCCAAGTTTGAATACGATAGTTTGTCAGATTGACTTTCGATGTCTTCGAATTTAGTCCGTGTCTGTTGAACAACTGCCGGCGACCCCTGGAAGGACCCCTGTGACAAGGTGGATGGCAAGTATTGTGACGGTAAACCAGCGTTGAATTGTTGCATTTGTTGACACAAGCTCATACCGACGAAAGCGAGCACAACAAGCCCAACGGAAAACATCTGTTGGTGGAAAGAAATATAAGAATTTTTGAACTTATAAATTATAGTAAAATGTGTACATTTACCTTGTATGCCATTTTTTGATAGTTTTGTAAGCCTCTTGTCTATATGACCATGTAGTATATTTATGTTCTGTGAAGCTCTACCGAAGTCGACTGATACATTTTACGACCACCAATACGGTTTATATATGTTCGTACTTCACGGTAATATCGCTGTGAGTCCAATCGGTGGGACCTAATCGATAATTAACAGTTTTTGTTAATGATATGGCTTTGTGTATAATGATTATATATGGGGATATACTTGATAATATATTGATATTGTAACATCGAATTTGCGGACAGCCCGATTTTGATTTATAATATTTTTTTTATTTTATAACCTCGTCTGCTGTACAACAGTAAATAGCATTAATAGCATTATCATCTTAATCATAAACGAAATAATTTAATAATAATAATAATATACGGATTGAAGTCTGTGACTTGTATGAATTGTTTTTCTTTGGTGTGTTTTTAAGAATATTTAATGTTATTAATGAATAATGATAGTGTCTAATATGAATATTGTATTTTATTGTTTCATGTTTTCTTCTATTATTTTCTAATATTATTGTTGAACATATCGTTATTAGTTATTATAATTTTTTAAACGAAATAACCAAAGCTTAAATTTTATATAATATTTGGTTGGTTTTAAATATTTAATAACGAAAATAAATGTAAGTTTCTTTTTGAAATATTCATCATAGATACTTTAAAACGTAAACAAAAAATATTTAGATTGATAGGTACGTATTTAATATAATTTCTCATAAATATAATATATTTTCATTTTAATTTGGTACGTAACTAATTCTATTAATATTTATAATATTATACATAGTATCTTTATTTTTATACTTAATATAATTTTATTTATAATATTCATTGTACCTATTCAATGAATATAATACCTAATTATTTGTTTCGATGTTTAGACTTTTCATAATATTACTTTTATTATAAATACAGCTCATAAACAATTTATAAAACTAGTTTTAAAGTATATTTAAATTTATTGTATATTAATCCCTATATAAAATTGTATTATGTATAAGTAGTTTATAATATAATATGCAATATTACAAGAAGAATTTTTGGATCAAAAGGATATCCCCCCTCCCCCAGATCAGTAAATCGGACATACATTCCAATTAGACTAAAAAAATGTCATACTACGGTTCACATTAATTAATCATTTGTATAATAATAGTACGTTCTCATTTTGAATATAAAATATATTTTTTTAATAACATAAACATTCCCCATGTTAACTAATTTAATAATACTATGTTAATTACTATTGAGTATCGAGTAATTTGCATTATTCAAAATTCAAATATTCATATCATAAATATAAAACCAAATAATTCTATATATTTTGAATAAAATAACTAAAATACGAACAAATTGAGTTATAATAATACATTTAAATCAATGGTTCTTAACCTGTGGTCCTGGGCCCCTTGGGGGTCCACGGCAGCCTCAACACATAACATACATCAATAAGTGACAGAGTGCATTATTACAATATTATTGGATTATTATTATTTTTTCGTATATAATAAGGAGATTCTACACCAAATAATTGTATTATTAGTATTTATTAAGTAGGTAATCAATTTTTCTTGTTCATACGAAATGTACATGCGTACAGCACTGTAGTCTCGGCAGACTTATATTTACTACCACTATAATTGCAGTTGATCGATCGTAGTATCGTACTCAATTATAGTTTTATATTACATTTTTATAAAAAAATTAATTGTAATAAAAATAATTGGAAATGTGTATGTTTGGTTGTCTACTATTATAATTTTTAATATAAAATAATTATTATAATTTTGGTTATGATAACATAAGATGTTTTGTAAAAAAATTGGTAAGGGGGTCCGCGATTTCTAAAAATCTTTCATCAGGGGTCCGCGATCTACAAAAGGTTAAGAACCGCTGATTTAAATGATTCTATATTTTAGGTTTTATAGCTAAACTAAATATAGTAAGTTCAAAATAATTAAATCCTATTTTTTTGTTTAAAGATAATATAGAGAGATTCTTTAAGAAAAAATAAAAATCTTGTTAAATAAATAATATATAATTTAAATTGTATTATAATTATGATTCTTATTAAATTATAAAAATGTATCAACACAACAAAATTCATTATTTGAATTTAAATAATATAAAAATTACTATTAATAAACGTTTTGGATATCTTAGACCCCTACCTACATCTATATTATGCATACAATACATACATTTAAATTGTATTCGTTAATTAATTTTATCCAAAATAAATAAATGATTATTCTATGTATGTAGATAGGTACTATAATATAATATATTGTAACTACTATTAAAAATGTGTTGCATAAATTAATTTTATTGTGTAAAATATTAATAATCTATTAGGTAGTTGTATTTTGACATTTTGTCATATAGAAAGTTGATATATAATTCATAATAAAGTTAAAATACCGTTTTTTTCTTTTTATGAAGATCCTTTCACATGTAAGAAACTGATACTATACAAAAATAAATTATTCAATAATACATTTAAAAAAATATACTATTGATTTATTCTTAAAATTTTAATAATCGTTTAAGTATACAATTGTATACTCACTTTTATAATAGTTTTAAGTAACTAATAAATTCCAATATAGAAAAATATTATAGTTGTTATAATAATTGAAAAATAGATATACATTAAAATATAAAATATAAAATAAATTTTAGATTATTATGGAAAATATGAGCAAAATCGATTTATAAATTTCAACAATGAAATATGAATCAATAATGGCCAAATTATTATTTTCAGTCTCTTTCGAATTATACCTGTTATACCGTCAACAAAGAATTCTACCATGTCACAGATTTCATATTAATATAATATAATAATATCCTCTACAGTTTAAGTAGAAGATAATGTTAGATTTCGATACATTTCATATCACACAATAATATTTATGCAATGAGAAAAAACGTATTAATTTATTTATGGGCTCTCAATTTTAAACCACCCATCAAGAAATATATTTAAAAACTATTAATTAATTTATAGTTTGCTTTTAAAAGAAATTAAATACAAAACAATAATACCTAAACATGAATTCAAAATTAAATTGAAATGTAAAAATTATTATTAAAAAATAAATATACTTAAGAAGATACAGTGAACTATTTGTGTTTATATATAAATGGTCCGCTTTCAACATTGACAACACATACCTATATATTCAAGCAATATTGTTGTTCATATTTTAAAGTATTCTTAGTGTAAAATTGGTAAGAATACCACATCAATTTGTCTAAATATTTCTCAAAAGAATGTATAGTATCCATTTAAATATACAATTTTTTTTTTTATAACTTTTAAAACCCAATATAAATTGATCTATACTTAGATATACAAGATTATTATATAGTTAGTTCAATATCAAAAGTTCTCTTATCAAAACAAAATCTAAAAAAAAAAGGTGCTCTGCTGTACAGTAGGTTACAAGTAGGTAACTGTATAATGGATGATATTAAATTTGAATTGAATGATATAATACCATTGTATAAGAAAAACGATTCTGAGAGGAGACGGTATGTCAGTCTAGGTATAAGGCATATTATATACTTATCTATGGTACTAAAAAAAAATTGACATATTATAGGTAAGTATAATAAATTCCCAATTAATCATATGACAATATCCATTAGGTACTTATAACGAGTTATACATCAACAATAAACCCTGATACTATCATAGATATATAATAGTGTACTTTAGAAATTTCAAGTACCCACGAATACGAAATAATATTATACAATCACAACGAAATAACTAAAATAGTTATTCTAGGTTTTTTATGTAATTTCATCCAAATTTGAACTTAAAATGACTATAAAAATAAACTGTGGGTATGTATTTTTTAGATTTTTTACTAGAATACAGAATTAACTACTTATGTGGAATCTTGTTTTAAATTTTCAATCCTTAGATATAAAAGTTGAACATTTTATAAACTTTTAACAACAAAATAATTATTCAATTTTAAATTTGATAAAGTTTGTCAAAATTATATCTTTAAATGCTTATAAAAAAAATTGTGCCTATGTATTTTTGCTGATATTGATATTGATATATAACTGATATTGTAAAAATATAACAGGAGCCTTGTATTACATTTTTACACTTTTTGGCAAAACCGATATAACTTTATTGATATTTATAGAAAAAAAAAACTAAAATAATTGAAAACTGAAAATGTCCGTAAACAGCTCGAAGAGAATCAAAATATTTTCAAAATTGTACGGTGTATAGAAAATGCTAGTATAAACATTCAGTGAAATTTTAATGTATCTACAGTTATTCATTTTTGAATTACAACAAAATAAGGAAATCGCTACATAAGAAATTGAGTGAATATCCAATATTGTAAAAATTTAAATTTCAAACGCTCATAAAAATTTGATTTGACTTTCTTATAGACATTTCTTGATAAAGGTAGATAATCTTATAAGGAATCTTGTATCACATTTTAAAATCTTAAATTTAAAAATGAAATTTTTACGAATTCTTAACTCAACATAATTTGCTAATTTTCGTGATTTTTCCATATTTTGTCAATTTTTGGACTTTAAATGCTTATAAAAAAAAACTGTGGCTAAGGATTTTTAATATTTTTCATCTGCCTTTGAAACAATATACTAGAAGCCCTCTATTAAATTTTCAAGTTTTTTTAACCAACTAATAAATTTTTATTGATATTTTTAGAAAAAAAACTAAAAAAGAATTGAAAAATGAAAATTCCCGTTTTTCCTTAATTGTTATGTTGTTTTTCCCTGCGCTCGTGAAAACTATTGGGAAATTTACACTTTTGACCCCCAAAATACCAACTAGATTCACTTTCACTTTCATAAAAAAAAAAAAACTAATAAAATTGGAAACTGAAAATGTCCCTAAACAGTTTAAAATAAATAAAAATATTTTGAAAATGTTATCGTATATAGAAAATGCAAATATAAACAACCAGTGAAAATTTCACTTATCTACGGTCATTTGTTTTAAAGTTACACCAAAACCCAAAATCGATTTTCTCGAAAACAGATTTTGGTTAAAAATTCCCGTTTTTCCTTAATTTTTCTTTTGTTTTTCACGGCGCTTTTGAAAACTACTGTTAAATTTTTACTTTTGACCCCCCAAAGTACCAACTAGATTCTCTTTCCTATCAGAAAAGATACTGTTGAAGAAAATCCAAGCACTTTTACTGTCCTAAAAGGTGATGACAGACACAAAAAAAAATAAAAAAAAAACACCCTTCATTGTAAAATTAACCAGTTTTGACTACCTATCGTGCCAACAGACACGAAAAAAAATTTTTTAAAAAAACACACACCATTGTAAAATCAATACATTCATCGTTCCGCTCAAAATATAAAACTAACATTTTATGTTAATGATTGTATTTAGATTCAAAAAAAAATGTATTTATTACTATCATATTAAATGAATTGTTAAATTCTCTGTTATTATATTATTATTATTTATTTATTTATTTGCATCACATTACGGGCTATGCCTAAGGTAGAATTTAGAAAATATAATAATTAAAAACAGCAAAAACAGACATACATTAAATATTACAATAAAGTATTTACACATATAAAAGCTTAAAGACTAGAGAGGTTCTGGTTTGCTAGTCACGTCATTCGGTGGATAGAGCGTTTTCGGCCATAATATTATGATATCTCTATGAAGAAAATATGTAAATAAATTAACATATTATTTGCCATTGTTATGTAATTATGATTCCTACTATAGAGCAATATCAGCAACTGCAATTGCATACGTAATTAAAATTTAAAGCTATGAACCAATAACATTAATAGTGTTGGAATTTATAATTTTAATAATATATATATGACATGTTATATTATATTCCATGCCTTGTTTATAGTACCTACATAATAATATTATAAAACTATCATATTTTTTATCATTTGATTTTGTTATTCATACAAAACTCATTAATCGATTTAACGTATGTAGAATTCGTATACTTTATTAGCAAGTGTAAATGTTTAATTAGTAGATACATGTTATAATATGTTACCTAACATAAGTTGTACAATATAATAGGTATGTGATTTCCCTGATTGCTAGATACTTAAATATGAGTGATTAAATATTTTATAATACTATACCGGCCAAGTCAGCTCAATGTTCGATGTACATACCGCCGATTTAAAGGTTTCAAATATTTCAAATCGTTCCACAAAAAGAAACCTTTATTCCATTCTAACAAAAACCATAATCATAAAACACTTTCAAAGGATCCGTCAGACAAAGACCTAGAGCACATGATCAGCTCCGAACAAAATCGTAATATTATACATAATATAATCAAATACTGTCTTTAAGAAATCTTCTCCCTAGTCTATATATACTATGCTATTATAGTAATTTATTTCTAATTTAAATTATATAATTAGTCTCATCATAACCGAGGTTTTACAAAAACACTTTTCACCATACTTAATATTTTACTCATTACCTATCAAATTAGTCATTATATTGTAGGTACCTATTTTATATCGCACTTTAACTATCTTATAATATATATTATTTAATTATGATGTTTGTACCTTATCATATAGCACGTTATATATTTCATAATTATGTAATTAATCTTATTATTATTTAATACTAGTGCTATACACAAACGAGTGGCAATAACTATCCTATGAGATTAAAATAGGTACCTATTCTAGAGTTATTAAGTAAAATATTATACGGATAGTAAATTATCAAAATACAAATTTAAGTATTTAGACATTTATTTCAAAACCAAATAAACAACAAACATTTTAATAAATAATTTTTTTAATGGAATATTCACGCAAACACGAGAAGCACACTGCAAAGTGAAAACCTGCCAGCTAAAGTGTGCGGAAATAATGCCGAAAATAAATACCTACCCTATATAATACAAAATTTAATAATAATAATAAATAATATAATATACTGACATGTAATCACGTTATAATGATTACACTGAGTATATAGGTACAAATATATTTTATATACTGCCCTATCATGTGAGACCTCTAAGCGATGATTCTAAGGTCGCTATGAGGAACTTTGAGTTGTTGTCGGGGTGTTGGTGTTGATTCAGACTTGTAGGTGACCGATTCTTTCAATGGGATTGGTGTGGTAGATATGGCAACTCCTGACGACGATTGGTTTGTTGATGACTGTTGGACGCGTGGTTGTTCGGTAATGGTGATCTGTCCTGTGGGAACGGTATGGTAGTACTGTTGTGGGATGGTGGCGTACTGTAATTTTGGTTGGACGGCGGAGACTGTTTGAGATTTGGTCTGGGTGGCCGGATACTGGGCGACGTAATTGTAACTTATTGGACCTGTGGCAGTGGAGGCGGTTGATTTTTGGATGTATAAATATGCGGGTGTTGGAACAACGAATCGTTGTCTGTAGTCTTGTCCGCCCTGATGTGGTACGGCGTACTGTCTGTATAATTGTTGAGCTGGGGCAGTTAATTGTTGTTTGAATTCATGATGAATCTGATTTGGGGCCACGAACTGTTGTTTAAGTTCTTTTTGGGCTTGGATAAGTGCTGCGAATTGTTGTTTGAACTCCAGTTGAGCTTGTGCAAGTTCAGCGAACTGTTGTTTGTACTCTTGTTGAGCTTGTGAAAGAGCGAAAAATTGTTTGGTAAACTCGTGTTGGGATTGTGCAAGTGCGGTGGACTGTTGTATTAATTGTTGTTGAACCTGAACTGGTACAGCGAAATGTTGTTTAAGTTCTTGTTGAGCCTCATTTAGAGCGGCGAACTGTTGTTTGAACTCTTTTTGAGCTTGCACAAGGGAGGAAAACTGTTTTTTCAATTCATGTTGAGCCTCAACTGGTTCAGCGAACTGTTGTTTAAGTTCTTGTTGAGTCTTACTTAAAGCGGCGAACTGTTGTTTGTACTCAAGTTGTGCTTGTTCAAGATCAGCGACCTGTTGTTTATACTCTACTTGAGCTTGAGCTAGGGAAGGCAAATGTTGACTTCTATACTCTTGATGATGTCTGTATTCATGTTGATCATGAGCAGCATTAACACCAAGGATATCTTGTTGAGTTTGAGTCGGGGTGGTGAATTGTTGTTTGTAGCCTGGTTGAACCTGTGCTGAGGTGGCCGCGGGGATGACTACCGGTAAGGATGTCGAGTACGATTCCTTGGTAATCAATTGAGGTTCAGCTGACAGTTGAGTGGCAGGCCCGTAGTACTGTTGGCTATCTTGATTGCCACGGTAAGAGTTTGGGGTACCGGTTGAATACTGCACACCAGTGTTTCCGAAAGCCGTCTGGTATGACTGAGCTAGATTTTGTTGTTGCACAGCATCTTGGTAAGACTTTGATTGTTCCAAGTTTGAAAACGATAGTTTGTCAGATTGATTTTCGATGTCTTCGAATTTAGTCCACGGCTGTTGGACAACTGCCGGCGACCCCTGGAAGGTCCCCTGTGCCAAGGTGGATGGCAAGTATTGTGACGGTAAACCAGAGTTGAATTGTTGCATTTGTTGACATAAGCTCATACCGACGAAAGTGAGCACAACAAGCCCGACGGAGAACATCTGTTGGTGGAAAGAAATATAAGAATTTTTGAACTTATAAATTATAGTAAAATGTTTACACTTACCTTGTATGCCATTTTTTGATAGTTTTGTAAGCCTCTTGTCTATATGACCATGTAGTATATGTATGTTCTGTGAAGCTCTACCGAAGTCGACTGATACATTTTACGACCACCAATAAGGTTTATATATGTTCGTACTTCACGGTAATATCGCTGTGAGTCCAATCGGTGGGACTTAATCGATAATTAACCGTTTTTGTTAATGAGATGGCTTTGTGTATATTGATAATATATGGGGACATACTTAATAATAATATATTGATATTGTAACATTGAATTTGCGGACAGTCCGCTTTTCATTTATTATAATATTTTTTTGTTTTATAACCTCGTCTGCTGGCAACAGTAGCATTATCAGCTTAATCATAAACAAAATAATTTAATAATAATGATGTACCGATTGCATTCCTTGACTTGTATGAATTAACATTCTTAGGTGTGTTTTTAAGAATATTTAAGTTTATTAAATATAACGTCCAATATGAATGCATTTTAATGTGTCATAATATTTTTTATTCAATTATTTTGCTAAGACACAAGTTAGTTTTAAATATTCAATAACAAAAATAAATGTAAGTTACTTTTGGAATTACCATTATACTTTAAAACGTAGAAAATAAATAATTAGATTAATAGGTAGGTACTATTTAATATAATTTCTCATAAATATATATTTTTATTTTAAATTATTAAGCAATTAATTCCATTAAGAATATTTGTAATATTATACGTAGTATCTTTATTTTTATACTTCATATAATTTTCTTTAATATTTATCATACCTATTTATTTGTTTCAATGTGTAGATTTTTATAATATCACTTTTATTAAAAACACAATTTATAAATAATTTATAAAACTAATCTTAAAGTATATTCAATTTAACACAATTCTTATATACAATCATACATAATATAAGTAGAAGAAATATAAACTTTTTTATTACTATAACTAAATACAATGAATACATTATAATATAAAAATAATTAATATGATAAAATGATTAGATCACAATTCTGAGTGGAAAATGTTGTCACCTTATTATTCTCAAGTTATTTTATTATATATTTATAATGAAATTAGGAATTTATTTTTCTAATAGTATACAGTAGATTAAACAAATTTTTGTCAAAAACAAATTTCATACATTATAAAATAATCAACATACTATATTTTCGTATAATATTACTAACTGTTATAAATGTCAATATAGAAGTGTACCATAGAAGTACCATAGGACGATAAGAATAGGGTTGTTGTATAAATACTAAATAGCTATTAAAATCAATCTAAATATTTTTAAGATGTCATTGAGTAGAGTAAATAATAATATACGTTGTAACGAAAAGTTTTAAGTCCCTACTAATAATATCCAGTGAACCAGTTGCACATATACACTACAATATGTTTTTGTACAATAAACGATGCCGCATGAACATCAAGCAATGTGCAAACAGTTCAATCCCCAATCCCCTGCGGCGGTGCCACAAAAAAAAAAAGTCCCCGCTAATCATATTGCTTGAATAATTCAAAATAGCTAAGTTAAATTGTTATTTTCCTTTAAATATTTATATTTGTCAAAATGTGAACATCGAATATCTATAAAAAAATATGCTCTTATTATTATTACTTATTTTTGAGATTTTTAATTTAGAAGAACAACTTACTTATTTCAAGTCTTGTATTAATATGTCAATATTTTTGGCCGAGTATAAACAGTTTATCAACATTTATTGAGAAAACTAAAATTAAATACATTCATCGTTCCACTTAGAATCTAAAATTTGTCTAAATATTTTGAAAATCTGTCCAGAAAATTATAAACAGTAGAATGTTTCAAGTTTCTATGATTAATATTTTTTGAATAGTAACAAATAACAATATAACAAAAATGTGCTTTGTATAATAGATGGTATTAAATTTGAATTCAATGATATAATATCATTGTATAAGAACAACGATTCTGAGCATAGACGGTATGTCAGCTAGGTATAACTGTATAAGACATATTATATACTTATCTATGGTATTAAAAAAAAATGACCTAAAATAGGTACCTATAATAAATTCCAATTTAATCATATCACAATATCCATTAGGTACTTATAACGCGTTATAAATCAACAACAAACCCTGATACTATCATAGTCCATAGATATATAATAGTGTACTTTAGAAGTTTCAAGTACCCACGAATACGGAATAATATTATACAATCACAACGAAATAACTAAAATAGTTATTCTAGGTTTTTTGTAATTTCATCCAAATTTGAACTTAAAATGACTATAAAAATAAACTGTGCTTATGTATTTTTTAGATTTTTTGGTAACAGAATTAACTACTTAGGTGGAATCTTGTATTAAATTTTCAATCCTTGGATATAAAAGTTGAACATCTTATAAATTTTTAACTACAAAATAATTATTCAATTTTAAATTTGATAAATTTTGTCAAAATTCGATCTTTAAATGCTTATAAAAAAAAATTGTGCATATGTATTTTTAATATTTTTCAACTGATATTGTAACAATATATCAGGTACCTTGTATTAAAACTGTGGCTAAGAATTTTTAATATTTTTCATCTGCCTTTGAAACAATATACTAGAAGCCCTCTATTAAATTTTCCAGCTTTTTTAACCAACTAATACATTTTTATCGATATTCATAAAAAAAAAAAAACTAATAAAATAGGAAACTGAAAATGTCCCTAAACAGTTTAAAATAAATCAAAATTTTTTGAAAATGTTACCGTGTACAGAAAATGTAAATATAAACAACCAGTGAAAATTTCATGTATATACAATATACATTAATTTGTTTTAGAGTTACACCAAAAACCAAAATCGATTTTGTGGAAATCCGATTTTGAGTAAAAATTCCAGTGTTTCCTTAATTTGTATGTTGTTTTTCCTCGGCGCTCGTGAAAACTATTGGTAATTTTAAAATTTGACCTCCCGAATGCACCAACTAGATTCACTTTCCCATCGAACAAGATACTGTTGAAGAAAATTGAAGCAGTTTTACTGCCCCAAACCGTGATGACAGACACACCAAGAAAAATAAAAACACACACACATCATTGTACAAACCGTTTCACTCAGAATCTAAAAGTGGTTTGATGTTAAATCATTATTTTACGTGCGAATATCCAACGAAGTTAAAATTTGAACATCAGTGTTGCTCATAAATAATGTATGTGACTGAACAATACACTTTTATTTTATTTTCCAAGTGAATAAAACTTATTAGTTATTAGTAATCTTGTATTACAATTTCAACCAGGTACTAAAGTTAATTTAAATTGTTTAAGTTTTTGATTAGGTACAAAACAATTTACATATAATACTCCTGATTTTGGTGAATTTCTTAAATTTTACATCAAACGTTTATGAAAAAATTGAATTTATCTATTTTTAATATGATTTAATATCCGTAGAAAAAAGTTATAAGAAACGTTTAAAAAAATGTATAGGAATAATTCTTAGAAATTATTTCTAATTTTTTCTAAGCACAAACAGAAGTGTCTTCAGGCGAAATAAAAAAAAATACGTCATTGTAAAAACCAAATAATACATAATCAGTAATAACCAATTAATACATTCATCCATCTCTAATAATCTCTATCATACCTAAAATAAAACATTACAAATTGCTACTACTTTACCATTACCAAGCATCGTATACGAATGTTGAACCCTGGTTTAATGGTTATTAGCAGTGGCGTACGCAGGGATGGCTAACGGGCTGAAGCCCCCCCCCATTGCTCTATTATTACTTACAAAAAAAAAGTATTTATCAAGTTTCAAAGTTTCAATTGTCAACTATAGTATGCAAGACGTAAATTTCATATACATCTTACCAGAATGAATTCATTTTTGAAAAAACATTGTATTTGCATACCAATTTTCATAAATTATCTGTAATTTTTCGGTTAAAAGTATGAACTAGGTACTTGTATAAAAAGACCTGTGGTTTTGACGAAATTTGAACTTAAATTGCTTATAAAAAATAACCATGATGCCTATGTATCGTTAATATTTTAGCTATAATAAAAACTTATATATTACATTGTTTAAGCTTTTTGACCGGATAAATAATTTTTTATTGACATTTATAGAAAAAAAAAATTTTAATTAATCAAATGCAATCCAAAGTGAGTACGGTATAAGTGTATAACCAAGCTGATTACTAAACAATTTTAATAAATTTTCATTTTTTTTTCTCCAATTATTTTAAAAAACACTGAGATTTTTCAATTTCGACCTCCTAAAAGTACCAACTAGATCCAATTTGCTTCCAAAAACATACATCGGGCATCAAAGCTTATAATAAAATCATTTTTTCTACCAGAAAAGTTGAAAAGTTACAAACATTTTAAAATACCTCAAATAAACGTCTGAAATCATTATAGACTGGACAAAATAAAAATTACTAATTTTCAAGCCCCCTCCATTGAAAAATGCCACTGGTTATTAGAATTAATAGTTTAATACTATTCTAATATAGTTATTTATACTTTTTAAATTATTGTTATTCGACGACAATATTTTCATCAACAATAAATTTATAGAAAATGGTAATTCAGTAATTTTCTTATTAGGTAAATTATACAAAATAATAAAAAAGATTAGATTGAATCAATAATATTTAATACAATAAGTATTCAAAAACAAAATATTGTATTTAAAATACTTTTATTTGTGTAATTACTAATTGTCAAGCTATCATAGTTTATACTAATGGCTTAATAAGAAAAAAAATAATTTAAACAAAAGTACATAAAATAGAAAGATTCTAAAAAAAGTATTTCAATATTGGTATTCACTACTCTAATGCCTAATTTTACAAAATATTTTTCAACACTGCAAATATTAATGTACTCAGAGTTAATTTCAAATTTAAATTAACTGAATTTACTAAAATGTTGAACAGTTCCTATAACGAAAGGTGAAATTAAAAAGTTAGCGATTTAATAATCACTGATATAATTTATTGAAAATAAAAATAAATAATCTTATAAAATAACTCCTGTTATATCATATGCATATTATGCAATTAGTTCAATTTCGAAGAAGTATAACTATTAAAATGTTATATCATCAAATACGCTGAAAGTCAACTTCCACTGACTACACTGCTACATTACTACTGTGCAAGTATTATTATTGTTAAATATTATATTATTATAATATTTTTTTTAATGAATTATTAATAACTCGTTGTATTTTTTTTTTATTATTATATTATATACAAGAAATGTATTTTTTTTAATGTTTGCTGTATAAAACATTTATAATGTGATTTTTTTACCTCGAACATGTGATACATGAACGATTATACTATAAGAGCTGCTGCGAACCATCTGATGGGATTAAACGCTTTCTAGAATCATGGATTGGACATAATATTATGTAGGTGTATTAAAACAAGTATTTTTAATGGTCTAAACATTTAAGTGTTTTCACATTTATTCTTAACCAAAATAATAATAACAATAATACAAATAATTACATATTTTATGTTTTAGGGACATATATGCGTCCCTACACACTGCTGTGCCAAGTTGGCATTGGCATGCTAAAGTGTGCGGAAATCACCCAGGAAATAAATATCCTATAATATATGTGCTGCAACGCACTAGTAGTAATAATAATAATAATAGTGATAATATCTAATAATTGTACAGTGAATTACGCGTAGTTTGCGTATATACAATTGATGGCACTATACACAATAATATTATAATGATGCACCTGCCACGGCCCCTCACGGGAGATGTACTTGAGACTTCTAAGCGGAGTATCTGAGCGTGCTGTAAGCGGAACCTGGTTGTTGTTGTTGTGGTGAGGATTCGAACTTGTAAGCAAACTGCTCCTTAGTTAATGGGGTGGGCGTGGTGGATTTCACTCCGGACGAGAATTGGCTCTTGGCTGACTGTTGGACGCGTGGTTGTTCGGTGGCGGCCACGGTGTAATAGTATTGCGGTTGTTGTTGTTGTTGTTGTTGGAACTGTTGCGGTAATGCATTGTACTGAAATTGTGGTTGGACGGCGGCGGTGGCTGTCGGGGCTTTGAACTGGGCGGCGGTGGTGGCCGGGTGACGAGTAACGTACGAGTAATCAGCGGGACCGTTGGCGGCGGGGGCAGCTGGCTGCTGGACGTATTGGTATGCGGGGGATGGCACTACGTATTGTTGTTGTTGTTGTTTGTATTCTTGTTGAGCTTGAGCTAGGACGTTGAACTGTTGTTGTTTGTACTCTTGTTGGGCTTGAACAGGGGCGGTGAATTGTTGTTTGTATTCTTGTTGAACTTGAACGGGAGTAGCGACTTGTTGTGGTTTATATACTTGTTGAGCTTGTGCAGGGGCGGAAAATTGTTGTTGTTTGTATTCCTGTTGAGCTTGAGCAGGAGCGGCCGCCGAGGAAAATTGTTTGGTCACGTATTGAGGAACAGCCGATGGTTGGGCAGCTGGCACGTAGAATTGTTGGTAAAACTGGTTACCAGGGTAAGAGTTGGGGCTGACGATGGAGTATTGCACACCGTTGTAGTCGAAAGCCATCTGGTAAGGTTGGGCCAAGTACTGTTGTGGTTGGGCTTGGTACGGTTGCATGAAGAACTGCTGTTGTAGCCCATGGTAAGGCTGCACGAAGTACTGTTGTTGCGGCACTGTTTGGTAGGACTGCGGCGGTTGTTGTTGTTGTTGTTGTTGTTGTTGTTGTTGAGGGACTGAAGGAGTCACGGATGATGGTTTGTTGGATTGCTGTTGGGTTTTCTGTCCAAAAGCCGCTACAAGAGTGTCACGTTCGATGTCTTCCAGTTTGGTTTGTGGCTGTTGGACAGCCGATCCCGTCTGGAACGACGTTTGGGATACAGCGGCAGACTGGTATTGAGATGGTGAGCTAGAAGTGGATTGTTGTTGGCACAAGCACATACCAACGAATGCTAACAGTAGACCGGTGGAGAACATCTGTTGTGGGGAGAGAAATACATTAATATTTTTGAACCTCAAAGTTAAAAATAGGGGTGTGTGTGTGTATTTTTTGTTGTTTTTTTTTTACTTTTAACTTACCTTGTATGCCATTTTTTATTATTTGTATGTCTCGTGTGTGTGTTCTCGTGTTATGTGAAGCTCGATCGAACACGACTGATACGTTTGACGATCGCTGATAGCGGTTATATACGTACGAACTTGACGGAGATAGCACATGTGTAATTTCCGATGGCCCGCTTGGTGGGATCGAATTAACGGTAACCAGTTGGTATTGTGGTGCCGTCGCGTGCCCAAATACGTAGGTACCATAGGCATGGGTACTGAAGCGGTGGATGGGTAACGTAAATGCGTTTCCGGTTGTTATGTTTGGATTAAATTATTGATTATTATTATCTCACCGGACCGGTGGATGTTCCAGTTTTACTTTCATATTATTTTTATTACAATATTGTCTCCTGCAGCAGTATAACAGCATCAGCTGTAGACGTCGCCAACGAACTATGTACCGAGTAAAATATGTTCAGAAACTCATACGGTCAACTTGAATATTTACAACATGCAGTACCTACACTCGTGGTTATGACTTATGATTTAAAAATTATATTTTTTTCTGTGTGCATTTGTGGTAAGATTTTATGCGATATTAACATACTTATACTCTGTCATACATATTAAGTTTTATTTTTATCTATTTAAAAACATGAATTATTATTAAATAATAAAGTTAATTACCTACCTATCATTAAAATCAAAATAACTAGAGATTGAATTTTATATCCCATGCATGGATAATAGGTATAACTAATTTAAAACATTTTATTTAATTTTTACATTTATTACTTAACAGTTAACAGTTTATTATCATAAGCTTAAATTAAAGTAAAATAAGATAATACATTTCACTGAATAGGTAGGTACTGATGACTTTTTATTACAATTAACTTACAATTAATTTACAATTTTTGAACACATTTATTTAAAGCTAAGCTAATACATATTATATGGTTTAATAAAAGTGAGCCAATAAACAAACTACCAGTACTAGGACATTTTTTTTTGTACTACTCAACGTCGTGTTATAATATATTATACCCATACTCCTGTCTCCTATACTAGTCCTATTCATTTGAAAATGAATAATGTTGACACATTTGTTTGATTTTAAGCATTGACAACATTTTATAGTATGATTTCTCACATTCTACGGTTTCTTCATTTAAAAATATGATATTTTTTCATTATTTTGTAATATAACTTAAGTTGGAATAGAAAAATGTTAAATACAGTCAAACTTTGTTTAAATACGAATTAATTCTTTTGTATTTTTTTTTTTTTTTTACTTTTTAAAAATTGTACAATAACACAAACTAAGTTGTATAATGTGAAACCCAAAACCAAATACAAAATATATATCGTAAAAATAATCAACAGATACCCATTTTAAGTTAAGTAATTTATTATTACATTATAATTTCTTGTTCTAATACTTTTTAATTATTTTAAGGATCATAAATGTTTTTCACAGTTACATTTTATATCTTAAATCTTATTAGCTTTTAGAATCTACACACTTGATAGGAAAATATATACCAAATTATTCATTATTGTTTCTTTAACCTAAAATTTTATAAAATATCATTAAATAGGTCTTATATTACATATGTGTACCGTGTATTTTGTTACCAAGTAAACTATACAAACTAGGTACCATAAACATTTACTAAAAAGTAAAACGAACCACTTAGATAATGAAAATGGAATAAAATTGGATGTAATTAAATAGATTAATATAATTATTATTTTTTTATTTATTTATCCCCAATATATCTCATGAATATAATAATTTCAAATATTATGAAACCAAATACAGTAGTTTTAAATTAAATTAATATTATATTAAAAAAATAAGAACTGCTTTATGAATAATATAATGAAACTAATAAGTTCCAAATAAACAAAATAATAATACTATGTATAATCCTTTATATTTATAAATGTCATCTATACGTCATATTAAGTACATTTAGGTATTACCTACCTAATATATACCGGCTGCATACGAATTGCGTCCCCGATATAAAAATTGCGATTTGTGACATACTAATTGCGTCCCGGGTTTTCGATACGACTATACTAATTGCGTCCCGGGTTTTCATACCATTAGTTTTTTTTTATTAATTGACGAAAATGTAGAAACTTACAATAAAGCATTTTTTCATCTAAATTCAGAATGTATAAAAAATAATATTAATTTTTTACCGAAAATGTTATTTGCTGATTTCGAAAAAGCAATTCACTCGGCTGCATTATTTGTTTGGGCATCTGTCGAATTAAAAGGATTCCATTTAGGCCAGAGTTGGTGGAGAAAAATTCAAGCTCCAGGTTTGAGTAATGAATATAATCTAAATTCAGAAATAAGCAATTACCTAAAAACATTTTTTGATCTCTCTTTTTTGAAACCTGAAGATGTAGAAAACTGTTTTACCGATGATATAGTATCAAATTTACCACAGAATAAAATAGTAGAAACATTTACAGATTATATTTTAAACACATATATAACCCCCGATTGTGACTATCCTCTTTCTTTAACTGAATCGTTCAAATTTTTACCGAGCCATAAATAATATTACAATAACATGTGATAACTATAACCTTATAAGTTATAACCTAACTTATATTTTTTGAAATTATTTTTATTATTATTAATTTTATTAATTATTATTTTATATTTGACGACGAAAACAATATTTTTGATGTACATAATTACGAAACGATAGAAAACAATATTTTTAACCTACCTTTAGCAATATAATATTTAATGTTGCTATTGACAGTCCTAAGTCTGTATTAAATGGGAAGGAAAATAATGTATTTATATCGGACGCAATTAGTATAGTTGTTAAATATTATCGGGACGCAATTAGTGTAGTTGTTAAATATTATCGGGACGCAATTCGTATGAAAAAGGGATCTTGGGACGCAATTCGTTTGCTGCGTATATACCTACCTGATGTATACCTACCTAATGTATACCTACCTAATGTATATCTACCTAGTAATATAGAACAAACATGTAATTCAAATTTACTTATATTAAACTATTTCAATTTTCAATTTTCAAAATATTGTAATAATAAAATAGGTAATTAAAATTGTTATAGAAGAAATCTTATATTTTAGATCTAATCTTATAAATATTAAGTATATTATATACAAGTGTCATCAATGCTTTCTCATATCCTAAAAAATAACCATTTATGTAAACTAGCTTGTAGTTACATCTAACTTCAGATATTAGTGCTTAAAATACCTATATAGATTGTAAATCTATATTTTAAGATGCAGTTAAAATACATAATAATATTGTACCTATATGTTCTATAAAAATGTTACAAGCCAATAATTGTTATTATATACATATTTAAATCAATTAACATCAATATTATATCATAACTTTGTAATCCTGCAAAAAAATGTCTAATAAATACTATGCGCAGTATAGTATATTGTACTATTGTGGTAATTTTAGTTAATTTTTATTTGTATACCTACATGAAAAAAAAAATAAGAATAAACGTATAAAATATTTTTTTATTGCATGATATGTGTTAAATGTGACAGTTAAATTCAAAAATTTTATATTTTCTTAAATTAAATGATTTCAACACAAATGTCATCATGCTATACTAATAATATAAATTATCTTTATAGATATGATACAAAAGTATTATTATATAATTTACCATCAGAATTTGACAAATTGAGTGTACCAAAAAAGGGTATTGACGTTAAACTTATATCAGTTTAACTAGTCTACACTATTCTTAGTTATGGAAATCATTTTACAAGTAAATCTGCTTTCTCCATCTGTCACAAGTCATAACCATCATTCTCGTCACTGAAACTCATATATTGGATTTGTGGCTAACGGTATTGTGTAATACGAATAAGCAGCTGTATTGATATAGTGTCGTTTCCTTATAAGGGGCCACGTGTTTGTGTTATTTCAAATAAATGATATCTGCGCCAATATTGTCTCACTAAGAGAAATTATATGAACTCGGTACCGTCATAACATAATATCGCATAAGAATTATTATTTAACGACTTAATGTGTGACATGTTGTACGTAGTTTTCTTGGAAATTCTGCTTGTTATTTAATACTATAATATATTTTATATACACGTAATAAAGGTAATACATAATTTTGTCATTGAAAAACTGCAGTAAAAAATATAAATATTGATACACACAAATTGATTCTGACAACATGATTTTTTGATTGGTAAAAATCTAGAAAAGCGATAATTCGGTAAAATAATGTCGGAAGTAATTATTATTGTTGATTCTATTAAGCTATTATATTATAGCTCCTAAATCTGGAAAATCTTGCCACATGCACCTATAGGTAGGCTGGTAGGCAGTATTTAAACACACGATATAATCATAGTTTAAATGGCTGTACAAAATATGTACAATAGTGAATAAATGCCGAAACCCATAGTTTTCAAATAATTAGGTATACTTTTAATTGAACACATCATGATAATAATAATTCAACGATCAGGAAATTGTTACCTATTTATAATATTATAATTTTTATTTGAGAACTAAGTGAACAACCTATAAGAACCAGTTACTGGCGTTAATGTAGTCGTAAACTCGTAAACGGATTGGTATTTGAACAATGTACTTATCTACATTTTTATTTTTATATAATAAACATTTAATAACACATTAGCAGCTTTTACTTTAAGTGAACTTTAAAAACTAGTTTTTATATGCAAAAATAACTACATAATATTGCCACCTTTCAAAACCACTGTTCCTTATTCAAACATACATTTATTTCTTGCTAAAAATGGTAGGTAAATTAAGTTAAAATCATCTAAGTAAATATATTCAACATACAATTTAACCATTTTTATATTCAAAAACAAAAATACTTTAGACAATGATTATATAAAACAAAGTTGTCTAAAACACCATCAAACCGAAATATTTTATAAACCGATCAATGATGACTTAAAACCCTATTAATAATTGTCCATACACTGTATTTAATTTCCCTACTAAAAGTATTTTC